TTAACGATACGGAAGAGTAGAGGCTATCTGTGCCCTAGGATGTCATAAGGTGTCCATTTAACAAAAACGTTTAGGAATTAAACACACCATTTTGTTCCAATTTCAAGCTGATATCGAGATGTACTTCGTCAATACGGTTTAGAAATCCTCCTGTGTTGCTATAATCATGAGGCCTTTATGATAAATGTATCTTATCATATCTTTGACTTTAGAGGAGCTGGCACCAAGGCCTTTTCTTGGAGGCTTTCATGTAAACATTTACCATAGCTGGGTGTAAGAAGCTGCTACTATAATTTGTTCCATTGATTAACTTGATCCTCAAGGAGAAATAAATCCATTTGCAAACTTTTGCCAAGACTACTAAATTATCTCCCATTTCTAAAGGCCTTTGTCAAGAAGAAACCTGAATATAACCTAGGCAACAGCGTTTACAGAAAGTTAACAGGACAGGTACATGAGCCTTGATCTCATCACCATCCGAGCCAGAAATGAGATAATTATCGTCAACATCTTAGCGCATTGAACAAGTATCATCTGTATGTAAGCTGTAACATCTGGATGAGGAACTGCATCACTCTTGATCAATTCTTACAAGAGGAAATAATAGAAATATTGAACAATCCATCAATGAGATAAATAAGATCAAATTTTAGGAAAAATATCTGGAAACAATTTATTTACTCTAGATATAAAAATGTACAGATAATATGGGTTACTTTCATAAAACAACAGTATTAATATAGTCTAAAATACACAATGAAGGTTGAGCTGCAACATTTCTTGTACATGCGTCAGAATATACATTGAACAAACAAGGAGATGCATTAGCACGAAGTACAACTAGCACAGCTATCTTCTACGGATAACAATCAGCAGTTGCAGAACGCAGAGACAAAATATTCAACAGACTTAGTACCTAAACTCTACTAAGAGAGAGAAAATTTTGGTCAAGACGATACAGATCAGCATCAGAAATCTAGAAAAATTCCAAACCGGGATAAGGGTTTAGAACTACCTATATTTTGGATATGAAAAAATCAAGAACCGGAACAACATAGGCCAGTGAGTTCAAACTATACAGGGTGATTCATTAACAATGGGAAAGTCGAAAGCTGAAGATACTACACGTGAAATGGTGACCATTGGAGCAAACATGCCTTATCTGAAAGTTGATAGTTTCGGAAATACAGGTGCGATTATTCTGAAAATATGTAGGTTAGGAACTTGAAAATTTGTGAAACTATATTTTTTTAGGCGACGAATAAGATGCGTGTTGTAATTTCAGCATTGCTCATAGAGGGCGACACTTACGACCAATTTTACCGAAAATTTAGTTAATAACATTTTACCCTGTATATTTAACTTGAAACTTGATTAAAAACCTGAAAGAGCTATCATTATTCCATTAATTATGTACTCTTGTTTCATTTCGGTATCTCGATCCGTTTTCGAGAAAAATCGATTTAACGAACACTATGTTTTGATAATATGAGAAATTAAAAGCGAAACAAACC